TTTTTTTTTTTTACATGATATTTACATATTCTTTTCATTCAAACATCTTTTTATTTTTTCTCCCCAGGAGTAGCAGGGATGTGTGCAAAGACGACAGTTGCACCTTTAGACCGTATCAAAATTCTCCTTCAAGCACACAATAAACATTATAAACATCATGGTAAGTATCATGGATATGGTAATTATGCAAGTTTGTAGACTGGAAAATTCATTATAAACATTGTGGCAAGTAAGTTGTAAATGTATTGCATTCAGAAATTATTTTGAATAATTTTTGGTAAGTGAAGATTGGTATTGCTTAACTAGATAGGTATTCCTAAACTAGACTGCCTTTTGGCAAAAATATTTATATTTAAAAGACAAAACAAAAGAGTTTCATTGGTTTCCATAAATGTAATAAGTGTTAAAAAATATATGTACAGAATCGTGCATAGCTAAAAGGTGGGAAGTAGCATTGTATGAGGTAGTCTAATCATGTTACCCTATCTCCTGGGATAATTCATGATTAAAAAGACAAAAGACCTTTTTTGTAGTATGCCTGCTGTACAAATCTATTATTTCATATTGGTAACATACACAAAATTCATTGTAACCCAATTTTACTTCAGGGGTATTTAGCGGTCTCCGAAATATAGTAGCACAGGAAAATTTCTTGGCCCTCTACAAAGGTAATGGTGCACAAATGGTCCGGATTTTCCCCTATGCGTCGACTCAGTTTACGTCGTTTGAGGTTTACAAGAAGGTAAGGACTCTGAATGGTTATCAGTAATTATCAGTGATTTTAATTCTTACCTTTATAAATGCATTGTAATGTTCTTGAACTGAATAAATTTGATTTAGACCTAAAATCTAAATCCAAATTATTTATATACAAGTAGATGGATATATGAATCTTTTTATATAGTTTTTTTTTTATTGTAATCTATTTTACTTCCTTTTTTTTCTGGAAGAAAATATTTCTACTAATAGAAAAAGAGGACCGAAAACATTATATGTATATAGGCAGACAGATGAATATAGAGGTAGATATATATCTAAAGGCAAATAAAACATAGGAAAGGGATAGGTAAGATTATGTTGTATTATTAATTGTATAGTCACATGCAAAATGAAGAAACACACCTACACACACACACACACACACACACACACACACTATAACAATTCCACTCTTTTCTTGTAAAGATCATATTTAGTTAGTTGATTATTTTGGAGTTTTTACTTTTTTACTTAATAGTACTTTGAGCACATTACTCTGGTGATAATTTCTTAGTTTATCTTTTATACTTGGTTCTCATTCAAGAATGTATCAAATGCGCTTATAGTAGAAACACGTGGTGGTAATGGTTAACAAAACATACTTATATTCCACTCCTTGATAATATGATAATGCTATAGTTCACTCTTTATACTGACACAGATCCATAAGGCTATAACTGAGTGAGCAAGAATGACCACTTCACTAATTCTTATATACAAGTTTTAGGCTGAATAGTTTTACTAGCCTTGCACAGTCCCTTAAATTTCATGGTTGTTCATACCCATGGTTGTTGATATCTATGTATGTTAATAACAATATACATGAGTATTAGTAATAATGAAATATATAACTAAGGTATGTATAAGAAATATATACTCCAATATGATTAAAGGGTTGGAATACTTACCAACTACCATACCTGTGATGTTGAACGTGCCCTATGACTTGTCTATTTGTTCATTATGTAGGACTATGGAATATTTGTTTTTGAGTCCCTGTGATAGTACACACACACACACATGCATGCATTCATTCACACATACTATCACAGTAAACATTTAGAGATATAAGAAAATAAAGTGTAGATCTGTATTTGTTAACAATTTCTAGATGTGGTCCTGAATGCAGCATATTTTGGCTAGGAGTTCCATAGATTTAAACATAATTCTAGTTTTCTTTGATAAAAATAGACTATATAAATAAAACTATCCTTTTTGTTCACATATACTTCCCACTTGAAATTGAATTCTTTACAGAAATAACTGTATTTCCAGGGAAATCACAATATGTGCATACAAGTATCTTAAGAAAGATATGAACATGTGCTGCTAAATTTTTCATTCCAGCTCTTGAATAATGTATGGGGCGACACAAAATACCTGAGCAAATTCACCTCGGCTGTTGCTGGTTCCTTAGCAGGTGTAACAGCAGTATTTTTAACGTATCCCCTTGATACTATACGTGCGAGGTTAGCCTTTCAAGTCTCTGGGGAACACAAGTACACTGGTATCGTTAATGCTGCGGTAACTATATTCCAAACTGTAAGTATGATTTCTATTTATTATTATTTTTTTTCTTTCTTTCCTTTTCCCATTTTCTTCATCTTCTTTCATATGAATTTCCTTTTTACAAATTTAAAATTAAGGTTGCCATACTAGATTATTCCTGTTACAGGTATAGTTACTGTTCTGTATATAATGAGTGCTTGTACCTAAAAATTATCTTATAATGATGCATTTTTTTTAGCTACCTGGATAAAATATTCCATAACTTTGATACAAATTTGCATGCACATGCAGTGAAATACATTGATACATTGATATTTATTACTGATGTTTAGTACTGCACACAGTATGTTAAAATAATCCTAACCAATTTTATCAAATCCATTCTCGCCCACAGGAGGGGGGTGCGAGGGCTCTCTACAGAGGCTTCACGGCAACGGTCTGCGGCATGATACCCTATGCTGGGCTGAGTTTCTATTGTTTTGAGCAGATGAAATATTTTTGTATGAAGTACCTCCCTGAATACACATGCAGCCCATGTGAGAAAAACACAGGTTAGTGGAGAGGGTGGGTCCACAGAGGTTGCAACAAGTAATGAAATGATGCAAATGAATGTTATTTATTTTGCATCACAAAATGTGAAATTCTTGTTTTTGATGTAAGAATGTATTGGTATCTTGATGAAAGTCAGACTTGTATTCTTTGACATATTTTATTTGTCTAGTAAAAGAAAAAAAGTGAGGTTGATTAAGTATTGCAAGGAGTCAGTTGTCTGGAGAAGTAAATTTGAAATCAACATATTTTGTTTTAGTCTTGGCTAATACAGAATCTTGTATCAAACAGCTGTTTCTCCTAAGAATTCGAAAAAATCCACTATGGTAGATATTTGAATGTTATTAGAAGTATGTATGATCTCTTACAAATTACTTTCATCCCATACTAAGTATGTGCTAAGTACAGTAATATCAAAGTATCAGGAAGAAACTTATACATTGCTACTGTAACATTATTGGAAAGACATAGTTTGATTCATTATAGATTTTATATACTACAAACAGATTCATTAGAGACTATGTTTTGGGGAAAATAGAGTATAAGTGTGGGATAATTATTGACCTATTACTCTAATTTCTTAGAGTAGATGACAAATACTCATTATATGTTAAACTCGAATGTTGTTCTGCCATGGTTTCTGTTGTTAATACCACAAGCCCAATAGATGATGTGCTGAGAGGACAGCACATCATGCTGTTTGGTGAGATTTGTTAAAGATTACATTACATGTCCAATATGTGAGTATCATATGGATATAATTTTTTTTTTTTTATAGAATTATTTATATCTATGTTATTATTGCAATCCATGGCATTGGGCTGTCAGAAGGTTAAAGGCAACAACATTTAGCAGCAGAGAACCAGCTACCTGTTCATGGGACTGTTATATGACTCATACCTTTATGCCATACTCTTATGCTCTTGCCTCTCCAAGAAGAGCTTTGTATGAAGTCTACTAGTTATTTCCCACCCACCTTTACTCTACTAGCTGCTTAACCTACCAATATTTTTTCTTTGTCAGTGCAACAGTTTACTGTAAAAAAACAGCCCAATCTTGAAAAGTTGCCCTATCAGATATAACACCATTTTCTCCTCTAGAAACTAATTATCTCATTTAGAAACATGATACATGTACATACTTGTTTTGAGGCAGTATCTTTTCATTAAGATGTATTTATAAAAAACTGGTTTGTTAGCATGCTGTTTATCATTTATCTTTTGTATTCATGTATTTAATGGTCTCCACATAATCTAAGGAATATGTGAAATAATCCAAATAGATGATAATTTTTCTCTTTCCTTTAATTCAGGACAGACCAACTGTTGTTTATCAATAAACATATAGAAGTTTATAATCAGTATCAGAAGGCATAAATAAAAGCAATAAAACTCCAAGCCTTTTCAGGGCACAGAGCCTAAAGTAGCCACCAGTGTCATGGCATGTATGGATGCCACCAGGAATTCAGGGCAATCTTCATCATGGCATGTATATGTGCTATCATCATCATTAGGGATAATGACTCTATCATAGAACATTGACAAATAAACAAACTAATTTCTCCAAATCCTCACAGGTGGCCTTGTACTCTCAATCCCGGCCAAACTCCTGTCAGGGGGTCTGGCAGGCGCGGTAGCCCAGAGCTTCTCATACCCCTTCGACGTCACCCGCAGAAGGATGCAGCTGGCGTGGATGACCGAGGAGACAAGGAAGTTTGGGTGAGTGAGCAAGTGAGAAGGGTTGTGTATTTTGTCTTTTTTCCTATCTTTCTTTCTTTCTTTTTTCTTATTTTGGGGATGGTGCTGGTTGTTTGGATTATTTTTTTCATTTTTACCATAAACAGTAATATATAAATATATAATATATATATATATATATATATATATATATAATATATATATATATAATATATATATAATATAATATATATACATATATAAAATTATATATATATATATAATATATATAGTATATATATATTATATAATATATATATATATATATATATATACATATATATGTATATAATATATATAAGTTATATAATATATAATATAATATATATATATATATATAATATATATATATATATACACATATATATATACATATATATAATATATAATATAGTATATATAATATGTAACAATATATAATGTTATATATAATATATATATATATAT